TTTAAACCAGCGTCTGGCACGACCTTAGCGGCACCTGAATGCCAGAACACCGTCGGAACCGGCTAGACATCACAGGAACTCCATCGCCTTTTCACAGAGAATCGCCGACTTTTAGCACTCGAAGATAACCCGAAGTCAGGGGATAAACTGAACCCCTTCCGCACTCGCGGGCGTCATCGCATGATGCAAAAATAAATCGTGCGCCGATTTCACGAGAAAATGAGACGGACATTATCAGTTCACATTAACATGAATCATATCAGAGGGCGTCTCTAGAACGTATTAGGCAGAGGCTTCAAGGGATTCTTATGTATACTTCGAATAGTTTTACAAAATTCGGATACAAACAAACGACGATGAGCAACATATTTAGATTGTAATTCAAAGATAAGAGGAGTAATAAAATATATTTGGCGCCGTTTTCTGCTGGATTGTTTTATACTCGTACAGCATTTTTTATAATTTCTCCGCAGATGCTGATTTAAAGAGTGCAAAAGTATAATGAGTCTTCACTACTTCGTTTGTAAGATTTTTCCAAAAATGTATTTGGGTTTAAGAGGATAAACTGTAACAATGTTTTTTACATTTCTGAAAATGAACTTCCTCTAATATTGCGAAAGATGTATGTTCTGCGAGCCAACTTGGAAAATTAGATGGACTGAAACATCCAAGTGAGTTTTAAAATCGAGTCCTTCTTTTTCGTGAATTTCATGTTTAATAATTTATCCTGATGTCAACCATGATCTTTTCCCCCCAACTTCAATCGATCCTTGACAACAAATGCACAGAAAGATTGTTCCGCTTGCAAGCACGCCAGATAATGGGACACAGACTATCACACATACTAGAAAGCTTAACGCATAGTATACTGTACAGGGGAATAAACGATCAACAATTTCAATGCTGATGCAGTACGACATTTCAAATTTCAATCTCGATAATACGGTGCTGTATAATAGTTCATGGAGAACGATTTACGAAAAGAAAGACGTTTAATCGCAGTCTGATGTGTTTAGCTCGACAGGAACATTACGGAAGCAGAGGTCAGCGAGTTCCAGTAACCACCAAATTTTTATCGAATTTTCTGATTGTCCGAAAGACAAACAGCAACTTTTTAGTGATCAGCCAAACACAGAACGCCATTTCTTGAGATGACAGGCGAATTACGGCAAGATAAAGCGTCAGTGACACTTCGAATTCGGAATGAAACATAAAATGTCTCAACAGTACTGCGCAGGTTCGACAAACTAATAATCCGACAGGGTTCGGTTCTCCGATCCGATTAAAATCTATACTGTACTAGGTTCGCTCGGGAATCCATTTCCACTTAGGCTACACAAGAAAATGAGCTTAAAAACGGCATATAATCAAGGTGTTTGCGTATAGGCCACATTCATAGAATGCGGCTACTTGAATAGTATTTTTGAAACAGTGTCACAGAGTTAAGTACACTAATTCAAGAGACGTGACGAAATAAATTTCCGGCAGCTTCGAATACTTCTTTAAAAAAATATCGAAGCACGGTTTAGTTGGCAATCCGCCCACTGCTAGCAAGATAATCTACCGTGAAAAGCCGATGGTGAATAGTTCATGGACCAAACGCCATTCCTATTTGCATTGATATGCAGCATTTTTAAGCAGTGGGGAAATTTTAAAAAATTTTACTTTCTTAAAAATGCCTGCCCAGCATCAGAAATGCCTCCGCACAGCACCTCACAATTACAATGTGCCGGCTAAAGCATGATACTACACCATTCCTTGGTTGCATTCATGAAAATCGATGGATGAAAATGGTTTAGAAAATATACTTTTTCGAAACATAGCTTCAAAATTCTCCATCCGGTTCAAGCAACCCCAGGGCAAATTCTGGGAGGAAAATGATAGTAAACTGACCTTCTCCTTTGCTCTGCTCGCCTGTTTCTGGACCTTCCGCGAGATGAGCACAGCTCGACCGTCGGGCATCTTGCCTTCTGAACTAGTGCGCATGGCAGGCCGATGATCAAAAGATTGAACGGCTGAGTTGATCAGCTGGGTGAATCGAGATCCCTTCGGGTTACGAGGAGGAGGAGTCTGGGGTTCTTCCGCGAGTGACGCCAGTTTCAGACTTAGGCTCAGGCTACGCCGAAAGCCGTGCCGGATGGGTTTGGGGAAAAGAACGTTCGCCGCGACACTTCACTCAACACTCACTATAGTGGAACAGGAGGATTTCTAGAATATCTGAGCGATCACAATCGCGGAGACATAAATACAAAAAAAGAGGAAGATTGGTTGAAGGCCAATTGGAAAAATAACGAGGAGGACATAGAAGGTATCACGTCATAATCCTACTCAATTGCATCACTCTCGTTTGACGCATGAAGAGGGCAATTGTTAGGCATTTTAATCTACCACTGACAACCGATTCTCTAAGAAGTACCCTCGACACACACGTCCCGAATTTTCATACTTTCCGTGGAATTAAGACGATTTCAGCGTTCGCGTACCACCTCCTGGGTCGAGCACTTCACCGAGTACTGTACCACCATTTCAGATTTACAAAAAGGTCCTTCACTTGAGCTCAAGTTTTTGAATAGTTCACCATCACTGCATTTGAAGTTTTCCATGCATCTCATCAAATCGATGACATACTCCCTTCAGCCGGTTTCATCTCACGTCGATCGTAGACAAGGGAGTGCATGCTCCAAAATTCAAAAACCCTCACTTAATATTGAGAAAACTTTCGGGTACCATCCGGCAAATACACGACGCACGCATTCCACCAGTTGGAAAACCCTTCCGTCAATCATCGTGTAGTCCGAGCCGCAAGCGCTTTTGAGTTTTGAACAATTTGAACGATATACATCATATGAAATTGTTCTGAATCATCGAACGGACGATTAATTACACTGAAACTGATTTCCGATATTCAAGAGGTCAGCATCTGCCACTAATGAACACGCATATCATCTGTATTGTACCACATCCTGCGACCGGGAATGAAATCATAACACGATTCAATGATAAATTCGCTGGTGAACACGGTCGCTATAGTTCCAACAAAATTCTGACCGAAAAACTCATCACCGGAGTCCATAAGATCATCACAAATTAGGAATAGTATTCGTCACAAACGGCAGAATTTGTCAAAATTCGCACGGCAATTCAGGACTTCCGCCGCACGTGAGACAGACTTGACGCCCGAACCAACGCGGACTGACTGACAGACTTGCCTGGAAAAGCGACCACAGCCAGAAGCGTTTCGCGCTCAAGACGAGCATCGTGGAACTGATCCCAGGGTGGCCAACTCCGCGCAGTTGACCTCGTTGAGCATTTTTGCATATTTAACCACAGTATAGGACATTAACCCGTAATTCAAGTCACACGGAGGATATCCTGCAGTTAACCGTTTTCCGGTTCGTATAAACCGCTATCAAAATTGTTCATTAAAAACTAAAAGTTTGTTAAGCCACCATTTTCTATAGTCTCGCAACCCTGACAGGGAAATGCGTGTTGGAGTTTTTATCCTGTGTGGGGAGCTCGGCCTTTCATAGCTGCTATAGTTCAATTGGGCGCATCCGCGCTTCCTGCAGTTGTCTAATGTGCGGTGAATTAAGTCTAACATGGGTTTAAATTTGCATCTTGCAGTTTTCTTTTTAAGAGTTAATTCTATCTCAATTGATACTAGGCCAAAAACATTTGGAGCGTCATCGTACCTGTATAGACTCCATAACATTTCTTGATTATACCTCATGGGTTCATGCTTAATGAACCAGAATGTTTACAGAAAAATTACTCCCTCTGCATGTAAACCACCATCAGAAAATGTGTGAAGGTTGTTTTTAAGCACCTGAATCATTCATATTTGAAGATTGTCTGCACTGAATAATTGAAAAATAACCAAAGACCCTCAATCAGAAAAATGCAAAAATGTATGCCATCCATACCTACAGTAGGTGGACTCTTATTGTCTCTACAACAATTTTCTTCCAATAGGATTCCTTTGCCATGTTATAGGGGTTCTCTACAACACATTCTCTCTTATAATACTCCCTAAAATGTTATTGAAGATGAGAGACTCCAGCACCTCCATTGTTTTCTAGATTCATGCAAATAATGCCACATTTACAAAAGTATCACATGCAATTTGTGTCTTCCATTGAGAGGAAAAAAGGGGATGCCCATCAGGAATGCATTCTCCAAAAAGTTCTAAAAGGCGCATTACACAGTATTCCAACATAAAATTTGGATCAATTTCATCAGAAAAGCTTACTGTATTTTCATAGGAACAATTTTACTGTACATTACTTGAATTCAGGTTCAATTTTTCTCAAAGTACAATTTGGGTGTTCTTACTTTTCAAACGTTGCAGTTTTGGAACCAATAATAAAAAATGGGATGTACATTTTACTTGGGGGGATTTAATCCAACTTTTAGATCAAAAAGCCCAAGTGCCTGTTGTACTTGAGAGCACGTGGTACTTTAGTGAATACAGTACAATTCTTACTAATATGGAGCACGATCATCTCATCAGCTATTTTGCTCATAGCAATAATACTAAGAAAAAAAAACTTTTGAATTTTCTCCAGGACACTCGAGAAAATGCCCCGTTGGTTCTGGATAATCGAATGTACAGTACTGCATTTATCTTGCCCTAGAAGACAATTCATGATGTACTGTATGCGGTTTCTCTGTACAGCGAAATTAACACCGTCACGAAGATTTTCTAGCAGCAAGTTACATCTCCTAAACCCCTAAGTTCGGAGGCAAAAAAAAAAAAAAAACCATACTTCGAGATCTACATCTCTCGGGAAAAATTGAGCACCAAGCATGAATAATATTTATGATATGCACTTTCTCTCACGGTTAGCAGCTTTACCCACATCTCCGGCGTTACCGACACTTTTCCACTCGTGAACTGCCATCACTTGAATATGGTGAATTGATACACAACTGTTACGTAACTCTACAAATAACATCTGATTAACTCGTGAAATATACGTGCATCAATCAAAAACGAAGAATTTTGCCATTCAAATCTAATTTGCTTTATTTCGCCTTCGACCCATTCTCGCGGCTTCAGCCAGCGACGTCAAGGGAAGTTTGAGAACGGCTTGAGCACCGCCAGATCGTACTCGGCCTCCACAGCCATTAACCACGGACGTTAATCTGAAACATTCAACACAGAGATCATGCATAAACAGAAAAAATTTATTTTACATCGCAGAGCACTCACTTTTCGATTGTTACTCCAGAAACCTTCGAAAAATCCGAAAGCGAAAATGTATAACTTTTCATCATGAACTCAGTCACAATAAGGTATGCCAGGATTTTCGTTTCGGCGGATACCGTTTTAGTCAGCCTGAAAAATGAAAATCGATTAACTACGAAATACAGTATCCATATAACAAAAAAAAGGAATCACAGAAAACCTAAAAAATATTAAATCTTCCATCATGATTAGTCAACACCTAGACGAATTCAAGCAACTAACCCCATCCTGCGGTTATGCCCGACAGAAAATTCACAGAAAAACTTGAGCAGCTCGCGTTGTACATCGGGATTGGACCAGGTGGGCCACATGTCTACCTTTTTCAACGCGGTGCTTTTCTCATTCAGCATGAACAGTAGGGCGTCGAAAAATAAACAAGCACACAGCATGGACGTCCGCTTCTTCAGACCTTCCTCCGTCTTCCTTACACTGTCACAGGCTTTGATGGCAACGAGCATTCGTTCGAAAGTACCCTTCTTTGGTGGCTTCTTCATCCTAGGAAAGTCACGAACGACAATTAAACGCTCAAAAATTTGCCATTTTGGATTTTTGGCAACATAACCGAAGTTCAGCTAATAAAAAAACTATTCTCGTCCAAAAAGTTTTGTGCGGAGGAAAATTCAGCGCTTTCGGTGTTTTTTTCTTCTTTCAATTTTGAATTAAGAGCAGTTTTTACATACACTGCCAAAAATATCAAAGTTGAAGATGTGAGAAGGAATGCGTCAACGTTTTGCATAAGTAATTAGTTATTACTGCAGTAATTAGTATAGTCACTGAGTCATGTAAGGCAGGCCTTCAGCATAGGTCAACAAATCATAAATCATACAAGTTTTTGAACTAACTCCGATTTCATAAATTGTTAGTGTTCTGACAGTAAATGCACGGGTCATTTCATCATTAGCAATGTTTTAAGGGTACAACCATCGGAAATAATCCTCTTTCCATATCCGCATCCCTTTTTGAATTAAGCAGCACTGCATTAATCGAACTCACCCACGGAATCTGTGCTCGATTTCAGCAACGGATTTTGTCGTGAAGGTGTTCTCGAAAAAGTCCTCCGGGAGACACTTTTCCAATTTTTGCAGCATGCCTTCTCCAACTACATCTTCCCATTTGTAAACCTCAGTCACATCCGTGGCTTCGCGATTCGCGGGAGGGAACAAATCTTGTAGGTATTCCGTCATCAGTTCCGTTTTCTCCTCTTCTGTCTTTCCTCCAACTTCAACAATCCGGTCCATCATTTGCTGGACATCACTGTCGGCCAATTTGTTCTGTCGACCGTGCTTCCTCTGCAAAAATTCAAACGTAGTTAAATATCAGATCACACGAAAATTGCGAGGAAGGTTCGTATCCCACAAATTCTCACCCACGTAAACAAAAATAAAAACCTCGCTTTAAAAGAATTTTTCAGGAAATCAGAAATCATTCAAACCTGCATCACCACAGCCTTCGCTCGTTTAGAACCGAATTCCTGGACTGCAAGCTCGGATTCCAAACGAAGCTTATCAAGGGCCGTGAGCTCCGTCAATCCTTCCAACTTGGCCATACGCTGAAGTTTGTTCTCTGTACCAGAATCGTCGTCGATCTTGGAAGCGACTCCAGGGAGTTTCCACAGATCGGCAGCCATTTTAAAATTTTGCAACTCATACAACTCTGCCGTGTCGGTAGTCTTGTTTCGAACTACCAGGAATCTTCTCTCGGTTTCCTTTGAAACGAGCAATTAAAGCATTATGAGGTAAATTTCAGCATTTGTTGCACAGGGTGTCAGTTTCTCCCTCAATCCCATTTTCTCCCCTTTATACACAGTAAATTAATGTACTTAAAAATCAGGCCAGTTTAGCCCAAAAGCGATTCCCAAGAATTTTTAAACTTTCCCAATCTTTCTACACAGCCGTTTTCTAAAATTTCCAAACACATAATTTCATCGAAAGTAAATAATTCATTACTCCTTACATCAACACATAATTTCATAGTTGATGTTCTTAATCTTTAGAAATGTTCAGTTCAACGCGAGGCTTCTGGAAAAATTAGAACAATGTAAGTTTTTAGATAACTTTGTGCATTTAATATAAAATGCTTCTTAATTACCCCTCCATGTCCAGAAGAGGCAATCTACGTTTGATGTCGACATTTCCAAACTCATCAATTGCCGATTTATACAGTAACAAACGGTGAAAAATGAACGAACATTTAAACTATTCAAACTACGAAGAAAATGTTTCGGACCTACGCGCAAAAATCGTACACCCCCGTTCATAAAAAAATAAATGAACGACATAGCTTACATATGCAATTCCATTAAGTTCATCGAAAGTTGGATCTCCCACAGACGCAGTATACGTTATCCCAGGATTATCCCGATTAGAACACGTAATCGTCCGCTTGATTTTAGCCGGAACTTCATGCAAAGCCGATTTCCTCTTCGGGGCTACATTTATCAAAGCTTTCGAGGCGCTGAACTCGGCAGTTTCCACAGGAACTTCCAAGGAATGGTCGTGCTCGAATGACACTAGAGAAACACTTTTGATCATCAAACTTCTGTCTTTGACAGGCGTTCGACGAAATAACTTACGAAGCAGCGGCGGTATTTCATCAACCTTGTAGTCCTTCAGCTCAACGATCTTTGAAACTTTTGCTTCGCGTTTTCTTTTCCCAGATTTGTCCATAGCCTGCATGAAAAAAAAAAAATCATTTCCGTCGAAGAAATCCGAATTGAAAATGAAAAAGAAGGACAAACATCCCGTGTATTACATGCTTTATGCAGTGCTTTTGAAAACGACACTTACGATAGACATTCATACAAAGCGCATCACTCATGGATCAAAACAAAAAAACCTACAGCATCACGAAAATCTCAGCAGGGAACACGTGACACGAAAAGCATGTTTGGAGTCTCGGCAAAAAAACCGTCGACAATCCGCACCCAACTCAACACGAGTGCCACATGAGTATTGCCATGAGTAAAGATTTAAAAGATCTCAGACGAAGACTGTCGACAGTGTGGAGGGAATTAAAATGCAGAAGAAGCAAACGTCTTGCAACGATTCGCCAAAACTAGATTTCACAAGCGAATACCAGATCGATAAACCTTTTTTGAACGTCACCCTCTTTTCAGCCTCACACACCCACACACACGGAGAAAAATGTTATATTTTTCATTTATAAACTTTTCCGCACCCGACACGCAAATCAGAACGACCCTTTCTCCCAAATTCATCAATATTGCCCGAATTATCAAATTCACATCATTCAAAAAGAAATGTTCAGTTCAGTCATAGCTACGCTGCAGATGAGCTTCAATATCCACCCTGCAAATTGGACAGGCCTTGTTCTGCGTAAGCCATTGGTCAACGCAGTTGCGGTGGAACAAATGAAGGCATGGCAATCGCCTAAAATTATAGAAATAAATTAGTAATACTGTATTATAATCAATCCGTTTAGAAAAAGATACTCGCAACCATTGTCTTGTTAGCCATTTTCATGGAAAATGTGAACAATTTCGGAAGCACAAAGATCAGCAGAAACTCACCGGACGTCCTCGCCTTCTTCAAAATCACTCAAGCACACCGTGCATTTATCTTCTTCCTCGTCACCTTCTCTCGACCTTGTAATCTATAGAAAGAAGAAGATGGGAATATCGTATAAGTTCCGATACCATTTCATAAATTTACTAGCCGAAGCCATGAAAAATATCGGCTTTAATCAAATCATTTTGAAGATTCCACAATAAACTACTCTTTAAACCGCGGGAAAAAGTCGAGCACGTTCCGAAACAGCGTGTCTGTAACAGATTGCTTTCATTACAGTAGGTGAAGTGCAAAATAAAATTTTGCCACGAGAAAATTTGCGGAAAAATAAGGCGTGGCCAATAATCGAAATTTCCTAGGATAGGCAGCAGCATGAAGAGTTTGACTTTTAATTTCGGACCGCGAACATACAAGTGAACGAAGTAAAAAGAAATTGAGATAAACAAATTCAACCAAAGGGTAAACGACATAACTTTTTTCTCAGGTTATTTCTTGATTTGTCTTCGTTCATTTCAGCATATCCTGAACTACTGACAAAGCACACATAATCTTCACGTCATTCACACATCTGGCATTTTACAAGACCGAATGCAATCAATTTTTCCTTCGTGCCTTCGCCGTAATTTACTCTTAATAAATGCCAATTTTTTTCTGCTGTTCACGAAACACGGCAGAACTCACAAATGGCTGCGCAAAATCATATGTACCTCCTTGAAATTTACACGGCTTCTAATCGCGCAAAAAAAAAAAAAAAAAACGCTAGCTTAATTTTTAAACGTACCTTTTTATAACTATGTGGATGAGAGTTCTTTTCGATGAGCTCCACCGAAGCGCCGCGTTGTATAGGTGACAACCCCGGCAGGAATGGCATCTGAAGCCCATTGCGCAGGAAATGGAACACATGGTCTGATGTCGGCGGGTAGTACAAGTACTGCGCATCGCTCATGGTAGAGCGAGGAAATTGGCTTGCAGAAGACGGCGTCGGATACATTTGCAAGACTGGCCGATGCCAAGACTCCAAGGGCCTCGAAGACGATGAAGACGAATGCGAAGAAGTTGATACCATGCTTGAGCCAGCCTGTGATGTGAGGTCCTGCACGCCAGCATTCGGGTCCGACATGCCTGACCGACCAGGACGGATCACGCCCCGCCAAGTCAACATCGGTAATCCACGCGCTGAACATGAAAAATAAATTTGAACATGTATTTACTCCAGTACCACGCGCCCTCGAGTAGGACGCGCACCAGGGTTTTTCTGGCATATTTAAAAAAAATTTGCATCCCCCAAGCAAAACACGCACCGATTGTAGTCACTCCCAAACTGCAGTATTTTTAAAATAAGCACCCTCAAATTCGAATTGAGGCAGGAATTTACCCTGTCACAGGTCAACTACATGTTGCCTGCTGATGCACCATTTAACTTGGGCTGACTAGATGTTGCCTGAGTAGAGAAGGTACTGCAGAGTATGACATCACAACGTGTCATACAAAACACCACGTTTTTGTTGTATTAGATTGTAACCCTTTACAAACATGAAAAAATCAACAAAGAATACAAACAGAAATCAAAGCATACTTCTTTAGGAAACCACCAAGCAACCAGCCTTGGAGATAATGATCCCCAGGGCTTATTCCACTTATGTGAATCAGCCCTGTGATCAAAAGGATCTAACTGGACTTGTGGACAGACAAATTTGACATACACCAGTGGAAAGCCTTGAATAAACTTTCCACTGGGGAGGATCTAGATCTGCCCAAAATCATCATAAGAAGGAGCCACTTCCATTCTGATCTCAGTAGAGAACAGACCCATCACTTTGTGTGTGCTGACTACTTTCAAACATTGTTGAAAGGAGACATAAATCTACATTGAGGTGTCCAAGACCTCAGGCTGCAAATGGCCGTTGTGTTTACCCTTTCTGTGACTATTTTGTAAGTGAAACACAAATCTTTGCCAGAGGGGCCTCAGAGCCCCTGACAGACCCTGAATTCAACTAACTCAAAAATATAACCTAAGTAATGTAAAAATTTGTCTATAATACCCCATTAGAATCATGAGGCACACCCAACACTTTAAAAACGTTATACCCGCGCTATGACTCGCACTCCCTTTATCCCTCTCAATTTTGTAGAAAAAAAGGGGCGCATGCACAGTTCTCAATTAAATACCAAATTATATATGTCAGCCCTTCGTAGGTAAGAAATACCCAGCCTAGGATCGAATAATATGGAAGTCAAGTCAATGTGTTGGGTTAGGTTACATAGTTGAGTGTCAGGTTTGTTTTATTCTTACGCGAATTTAGGCATGACAAGTTCGGCCGTCATTGTATCACCAGCAGGGGAAAAAAATTTCTTCCATAAACATTTGGTAAACATTCAAGTTTAAATACTTAGAAGTTTTAAAATTAATCAACAGACTAAGACATTATCCCCAAAAACAAAGAACGAGCCCATTTCCGAACAATTCTCAAAAACGAAAATACTGTACTGTCATAGGTGATGGAACTTCCCCACTTACAAGATGTGTGATGACGGAATAACGTGTGAGGTATTGGCGGTTGCGTTGGCAGTGGAGGTGGAGCAACGGGAGCAGCACTGACATCGCTGACGATACGTATCGGAGCAGGATCCACTTGTTCTCCCTCAACCATTCTTGCCAAATTCCGTGGCCTAAGAGAAGTTTCCCTTTCAATAACAGTGCGTGATGATGGGTTCTGAACTAAAGTTGATGATCCTTCATTGATCCCGAGTCTGAAGAAAGACCTGTAACTAGGGCTAGAAATCAAAAACAAACACGGTTGTAACAAACGTGAATGTTTTTCTTTAAAAAACTTCGACGAAGGGCGGAAAGTATTCAAATTATTTCCATCATTTGGCACCCAAAAGAAGATATTTGGGCTAGAACGACATTACAAAAAAGCACCTGGAACTCTCCGGCCGGTCGAACATAAAAAACGAAATTAAGAAATTCTGACTACATGACACTCAATCATTCGAAGCATTTCCCATGCTTTCTTTCGAAACGCAGGACCAACTACCGCCCTTACATCACACGGTTAGAGAAATTTTACGATTTAGCGATTTCTTCAATACAGTATAGCAATCACAGGGTTCAAAACATAAAACGTACCTTGATCTCCAAGGTGGTCTACTGCTGTGGGCAAACGGCAAGCTGCTCTGTCCATGCGCAACCGGAACTTCAAATCCAGGGTTGGTGGTACCTTCCGTGGTACCTTCAGAAGTGGGCATGACTCTCGTAGATTGATGTAAAGGCATAAGACGCGTCCTTTGATACATTCGCATCCGCCTTCCCGAGGATGGACTATTGACCGACACAGGTGGAACTGGTCCCTCAGTCGACTTCAAAAAACAAAAGAACAGAAGATTTTTTGTGAATAACTAAAGATCAAAATTAAATGAGAGATTGACGATAATCATTTCATAGATTTCTGAAGCACATTCCAGGGACCATCATTCAAGGCTGAATTATGGTCCCTGAAATGCGCTTCAGAAAACTTAAAAGTTATTACTTTACTGTACAGTATTTGAAACCTAAAAACAGGCAAGCAACCATCGTTTATAAATCGCCAGAACCTTACAACCAAAACTTGCGATGTTAAACTGTACGGTGACACCTAAAAATATTTCCATTAAACAAATGAAAAAAATTCACCTGTGCGCCACATGAGCTGGTCGATGGCGCTACTTGATCTTCTCTTTCTCTGACGACCATTCCAGGATTGGCAACAACTGTTGGAATGGTGCGCTGAGGTAACAAGCTGAAAAAAAAGAGAAAAAATCGGAAAAAGATCCATTATTAAAAAAACAAATAACATTTTGCTTTCTATTACAGGAAATGATTTCTTAAAAATTATTTACTCAATCAAGACGAACTATTTCAATTTTATGAATTCAATGAACAACTTAATTAACATGAACTCAGTTTCACTAACCTTGCAGTATGCCCTTGGATCTGATTTCTATCAATTTCGGGGTTCACTTGAGTAGTAGGTAGTGGAGGGGTTGGATGTCTACCATGCACACGAGTAGGTAGACATCGGCTGGCATTTTGCGGTAAATAGGGACCATAGCAAGTGCAAGAAAAAGGACCATTGACAACCGTTCTGTTCAGGCAAGAGAAAGAAAAATAAATGAATCAATACTTTTCTCTTTTCGACGGTCATTTTTGCCCAAACCGTCGCTTTTATATCGGGATTATTGTATTATAGGTCGAAATTGCTTCTTACAAGCAACATATCAAGCACCTACAGTACCTACTTGAATATCAGAGACGTCGTCGATTATAACTCACACTGCGCAAATCCACTTGTTTATTCCTCAAAAATGATAAAAATGTTGCCTGAGAATGTACTTTCAGTGCATCCAAATATTTCGATTCAGAGGAGAGCGTTGGTTTTACTCATGTATCAGTGGCCATCTTTTTCTACTCAAAAACTTCGAATAGAAGTAATCTTGATTTCATTCATAAGATTCAGCTCAGAACCGATCCTCCGATTTACCAGCGAATCTAAGATGCCACAAAATGGAAAAACAACCTTGATTCTTGTATCAAACCATCGCTAGAGAAGTGCATCCAATATTCGATTAAAACGACATCTCGCAGCAACTGAAATAGAAAACGAGCACTCACGTCGTCCTAAACGGACAGGCCCGTCCCTCATTTGATGGATAATACTGAACTGGCTGCGACGGTGGAAGAATCAGACGTCTCCTGGTCATGTCTTCGTTCGAACCGAATGCACGACATCCTTCCACTGGTGCTCTCGCAATGGCGGGATGACCAACACCCGTACTTTGCCCAGATTCGCGAACAATTTGGTGTTGTTGCGGGTGCTGTTGTTGTTGATGCGGGTGCTGTTGTTGCTGCTGCTGCTGTTGTTGCTGTTGCTGCTGCTGTTGTTGATGCTGTTGTTGATGTTGTTGCGGCTGTTGTTGCTGCTGCTGCTGCTGCTGTTGTTCTTGCTGCTGCTGCTGTTGTTGCTGCTGTTCTGGATGGTGGTGCTGATGATGATGATGTTGATGATGATGATGATGTTGTTGTTGCGGCTGTTGCTGGTGCAGCTGTTGTTGTTGTGGTGGTGGTGGTGGTGATGATGCTGCGGCTGAAGCCATCCTCCGCGCGAAAACATCGTACGCTGGTTTTCCTGGCTGCGTTGTTGAGAAAACCAAAGCTCCAGCATGGTGTGAGGCATTCGTTGCAACGCAGGGCCAGACATGGACGAAGACTGAAACTGCACGGGCTGTTGAGTAAACTGCTGTGAAGGCGGTGGCAGCACAGGAACCGGAGGCGCAGGTGGAGGTACTGGTTCAAAATGGAAACTTGAGGACGCCGCAAGTCTTGGATCTGTACGACAAAAGGGTATGAATAAATCGTCAGAGAAAAATAAAATCGGAACAGCATTTCGTATCGGCATCGAATGAAAAAAGAGGGAAAAAACTTCGTTATTACGCCTTCCTCTACAATCGGTAATTAAATTTCCTCATTGCATCTGCATCGCTAAAATTTTATTAGGCTTTGTTAGAAATAAATACTGGGGTAGGCGCGGTCAGGTCGCTTTAGGTTAGGTCATTAGAGATTATATACAAAATGAAATATTCGATCAAATTAAATAAACATAGTTTGGACCATTTTGAGATTGAGGCGACACCTGCATGACGTCATCAGTATCAAGCCGAGAATATGACAAGAACAGTGCCCTCGGACAGTCCTGAGCAAATGTTTGAGAACGAAAAAAATCAAAAACTGGAACAGTGTCAGAACTTAGTTGTAAATCAATCAGTTTCGTTGATCGCAAACACTGTACTACATAAAATGAACAGAAAAATTTAGAGATCCAAATGCTCACCCATATTTGCTCGCACGGATGCTTCAACTCTAAATTGACAACCAACACTGACGGACATTCTTTCTGGATCTTCATGCCCCCCACTTGGAGCCATCACAGCATCAACAACCACATCACGAACAACATTCGATGGTCCAGGATTCATCAAATCCGGATGAGGTCCATTGGCCAAGTCCAGCGCTCCAAATCTCAAGGGACTAACACAAGTTTGCATATTTGAATTAGTTAACTTCAGTTACTCGGGAAAATGATTTATATTCAACAGAACATACCTTTCCAACCTACTCCGCAACATAGCATCAGCAGGATCTGACTGAATGATTGGTACACTCTCGAGCACCTGAAATACGTTACAGAAGATAATTTTAGATTTCGGAATATGGGATTAAAATCTTTTTTAAACAAAACCATGAAGGGCTCTTTCCTGGAAGTCCAGATCAAATACGGTATTTACGATGAAATTATGATAAAAACAAAACAAATTACGGAGTCTCACCCCAGACACATCATCAGTCACATTCCTGGCATTCGTCACTCTTGCGCTAGAAGGCTCATTCGCATTCATGGGAATAGTTCGAAATTGGGCAGTGAATTCATCAAACTCGTCATAGATAGAGAATGTAACATTATCTCCAACGGGAGGCTCGTAATCCGACTCCCCTGTTGCTCTGTTCTCAATTTGCGACACAGAGGGCGCCGCAGGTGTTTCTTCCAAGATTTCCACATCAGAATCGGGTCCACTGGACAGCTCCACCACAGTCTGTAAAAAATTATTTAGAATGAACAACAAATCCGTCTACAAGGAAACCCTCAACACGCGCCTCGACGTAATCTTAAACTTGTAAAAGCAAGCCTATGTTGAACAGAAGGAAATCTCTTACTCACCGGCGATGCATTCGTACAATCATTTCTGGAGGATTCAGGGGCAACACCGGTACCAAGAAATTTAACATCATTATCATCGTCGTCACTTATCACCACCACTTCATCCGCATTCGAAGTTGTCGCAGCTTCAGCACCCGCAGCACCTGGAAAATATCTTTCTCGGCTGCTTCCTGAAAAAATAGAAGCAATCTCGTGTTAATCATATGTAACGATACCCATGTCATAAAATTTACTGAAGAATGCTGACAATCGGAAGAGACACCATAGACAATCACCACTGAGACAAAATATAACGCATCCAAATATTTTCAAATAAAAACTTCGTCAGAGGGCATAAAAAAAGGCATAAGCAAGGGATGATTCACTCGGTGTAATTACCTTCAGGTTCAGAAAACTCAACCTCATCTGTAGATGAGGAAGATAAACAGTCCAATTGAAGATCTGGAGCAGAAGGACCATCATTTGGTTGCCTACGCTTAGCTCTTCCTTGAACAACCATTGAGCGACTGTCAAGGATTTTACGCTTGCGTCGGCGTACGCGTCTACGAACAACCATCAATCGCTCCTCGTCACTCGAGCTCGTTGAAATCCGTCTTTCCTGAAGAAACAAGCGCACCATGAATTTTGACAAGGAAATGTTGAGACAATAGAATACGATTTAGAAGCTAATGCTGACCGACTGATACATGCTGATCATTGAATATGGTAAGATTTCTAGAATCCCAAGAAATACAGTATACAATATTCTGACTTGATCTAAAATAGTTTCAACATACGCGAGACATTTTCGTCACCACCCAGCAAATGAACGCAGTAACATTCATTAAAAAGAAGAAAAACCACGTGCCATCGTGATATTCTCAACTCATCTGCATTACGGACCAGAAAAGCATAACCTTGTACTATACCAGACGATATTTCACGCTAAAATCTGAGAAAACCAAGGAAGATGGTCATGAAAAAGGAACTCACGCGATGGAACGGAAATCTGTAAACAGCAACCATGGGAGAATCAGACCGATTCTCTTCGTGATTCTGCGTTGAATTCACCGGGGACTGTGAGACTTCCGACTCTATAATCCAACCATCGGGAGGATTATCTCGATGTCCCTCAGATTCACTGAGCATCGCAGTGCGTAAAATGTTCGTATCCCGTCTAAACCCATCAGTATTCGAGAATTGCTCAAAACGAGGGCTTGTGGCTGAGGAAAGAAGCGCACGGAACAGAATCATGTATGATTTTCTACGTTAAATCATCAACAACGTTGCTTGAAATCCCGGGGGGGGGGGGGGGGGAAAAAAAAAG